TTTTGATATGTTTTAATTATAATGAATTTTAATAAAAAAAGGGTTTTTCAAACATGTGCAATGGATAATAAATTAGGGACTATATGATCTCCAACCCTCCGTCACAAACTCTGGATCTCCAAATCTCTTGAACATTCTTTAAAAAATAGTCTAAATCAATAGAGACAACCACGATCTCATGAAGGTCGAGTAGTGTACATTCTAACTCTGAATTGTTGAAAGAGTGGACTTTAAAAAGTAACTTTGAGATATATTAAAAAAAGATTGGCCTGCTTTAAAGCAAAAACAATGGAGCCTTAATTTTTTGAGGTAGCAGTCTATGCTTGCCTAATCCCAAAGCAAGTAATGAATAAAAAGTTAACTTGTCCAATTGATTGGTGGCTAAATTCTAATTTACTTAAAAATAAAAATAATAATAATAAAAAAAATACTAACTCAATAGTGTTGTAAAAGAATTAATACTTGATTGAGAAAAAAGTTTGATTTTGCATGTCAAGTGTCAACAAATGACCACTGACACAACTGCTTATGTTATTAGTTAAGAACACGTGTTATGCACGGGTATTTTAATTATTTTGTTGTGATACAAAAAATCATGATTGCATACATTAACCAACAATTTATTTATTTTCTGAAAGTCAACTGTATTAAAAAAAACCATACTTTGAAAATATAGCTCGTTCAAAGCAAATGGTGAGATAAATAAAAGTACATGGATTATAAATCAGAGATAACATATCATAATTTAATATTTGTGTACAAAGGCATTGCAATCAAGCACGATACTGGTTACTTTATATCATTAATTAAGTACTGGTTACTTTATTTTACTAATGATCTACTGTCTACATGAGTCTGCAGATGGAGCATGATCGACAGTTTGTAGTTGAAGCTTCCTTTTTTTCCTTTTCTATAAAACTGTAGTGTTTTCTTGAAAAGGAGCTCAAAGAATTCTGCTAAGGGATTATCTGAGATGGGAATCACAGGGGAACTAGTTAGAAGTGCATTCTCGAAAAGATGGTCCGTACGAATGCGTGAGAACCTTGTAAGTTTATTGCCTTCAAGGTGTTTGATAATTTAACTCACAGATTACTGATAGTATATTGTACATATGTCTGGATCTTTTTTTGATTTGGTTTGAAATTAACAACTAAATTTTGAGAGAATTTATCGTAATCAGGCTAGGAGTTATGCTATGGAAAAGAAAACATTGAGTTCAGTATGATCATACCTTTGCGTGGATGAGTTTAGGGTGTGTTTGATGCACCAAAATTTTTGATGGAAAATGGAATTTCAACAACATTTTCCAAGTTTTAAGGTGTTTGATGGGTATATTTTTCCATGGAATTCAAGTTCTTTCTTTTCTTGAAATTTGAAATTTCTTGGTTTGTAGGGAAAATATGGTGGGACTTGATTTTCCCAGTTATTGTAGCATATATATATATATATATATATATATTATTTTTTTTGGTTGGCAAAGTTAACAAATTCTAAGAATTATTGTAAAAAAATATTTCCCTTAAATTGACAATTTTCATGTAAAATAAAGTCAAACGAATATAAAAAAGATAGATGGTTTTCTTGAATTTATTTATTTATTTATTTATTTTTTTTGGTAATGGAAACAAGTTTCATCCCCAATACCAATAAAATATATCCCTTTAATTAACAATTTTCACGTCAAAGAGAGTCAAACGAACACCAAAAAATACTTTTATTTCAACATTTTTCACGTGAAAAATTATACCAATCAAATACAATAATTTACAATTCCCAGAAAAATAATTTTTAGGCAATTCAATTCCCTGAAATTCGTTTTCAATTCAATTCCATCTTTACAATCAAACGGACCCTTAGTTCAATAGTTACAAAGGATGATTTATCGAGCTCCAAACCTGCAATTGATGAAGGAGAATTTACTTCAATTTATGCAGAGGCAGATACGGCTTCTTTTAGAAGCTCTGAGGCCACTGTTAATCAACCATTGGCAGGAGATTTCAAGGACAAAGCTGATGCTAAAAGCAATGTGGTGAAGAATGGAAGTCCAAACAAAAAGCAAAACTCAACCTACAAACTTTTTCAGCATGAAGATGCTGCAATGATCATTCAGTCGGCATTTAGAAGATTTCTAGTCAATACACTCACCAATATGTGCATCAACTTTATATGGAGATTTATGCTTGAATAATCATTATAGTATCGTAATATATGCAAATGTTTGATGATACTTGTACAAGAAAATGAATCTGCGCATATACTTGGAAAGAAAATTAAACAAGAACTAAGAGAATGCTGATCTCCATGGATAAATGTTGTTTCTTTAAGTGAAGTATTTCCTGGATACTCGATTTGAGTTGTTTGAATGCTTAAAATTTCAGGCCCGATGAGCTAATGAAAGAATGAAGTTGCAAGATTGTAAGGCAGATCCTGTAGGAAGTCCAAGTAGGGAGTCTATTGGCACATCAATTGAAGTCCAAACTGGAAATTCCAACATTTTGTCATCCCAAGAAGAAAGCATGGCTGTGCAACATCCCGCATGACATAGAAGTAGACCCCAAGTGTTCAAGCTACAGGTACAACAACTGGAATTTCAAAATGTAAAATTCCCCTACCCTTTTTCTAGGGCTATAACTTAGCTTATCATATGCTAAGATATAATATCATATACCGTTGGATTGTAAGATAATTGCAGGAACATACTAAATGGCTAATAGAATTCAGTTTATCTCATATAACAGTATATTGTGAATCTGATACAACCAGTGATAGGGAAAATTTAGTGAAAAGGATTGCTGCAGATTTTAAGGGGATCTGGAAATTTGACACTGTTTTCTTGTGCAAGGTGCGAAATTTGATAACATCTATGACTTTTGCTAAGTTCAATCTTATTGTATTGGACAGTACTAATGTAGTAAACGAAATTAAAATATTGTCTACTTTAATGTCTACTTTTGACAAGTACTACACATTGAATATACCCCTAGCCTTTTATTTTTTTTTTCAGCAGCAAAGTTTTTGAATCGAAAGTATTAACCTAAACAAATTTATAATTCTACTGTCAACTTGTCTAGGAAGACTGGGATGATAGCATGGTAAGTAGTGTCATATCAAAAATGAGAATTCAAAACAACCTGGAAGCAACAAGAAGGCGCGAGAGAGCTCTGGCTTATGCTTTTTCACAACAGGTATAGACAAAGCAGTAGAAATTGGTTGTATTGGAGAATAGAATGTGCACTGATTTTGTCTTTGCCTAATTTGTATGTAGTTAGGGATCTGCTCGAAGAAAAAACAAATCAAATCCAACAGTAACGAAACCAGCGTGGGCTAGAGTTGGCTAGAACAATTGATGGCAACCCGTCTGCTGGAAAATACCATGATGGAAGACCAACTGTACTAGCAAATTGAGGCAGTTAGTAGTCACCAAACAATTGGGATTAGGAAGAGAGTGCTGGATGTAGCAAAGGAAGAGAAGGAGAGTTGTGGATCTAATGATGTATCTCTGCACATTGAAGTCGGATCTGCAGCTGCGCCCAAGGATGTCCCAAGGCCTACCAAGAATAGGAATAAGACAATGAGGAATATCTCCAAACGAGACGTAGCATCTAGCTACCTCTATCCAAGAGACTCAAAGGTACACCTTTCAGCTAAAACAAAAATTGTCCAAAGAAACAAGTGAAATTAGATTTTAACCAATTTTAAACCAAAAATGGAAGAAGAATTGACTACCTAAGTTTTATTCTTAATAAATTAAATTTATAGTCCCATTACATGAGCCAGCGCGTTTAACAGGGATAATACTGCTCGAATGCTAATAAATATTTTCTTTTTCCTTCATCCATTCACTTGTTTCTCTTGATTTGGTGAATATTGTCACAGGATAGCAAGAAAGTATGTCAATTAGAGGATGGAAAACATAAGGTGAAAATGCCAAAGTAGGCTCAAAAAGAGAGATGAAATACACAAATTCTACGTCTCAAGAACCACCAGAGATTGAATTTTTTTATTTTTTTTTTCAATTTAGGACTTCAAATATGGCCTTCTTGAGTTTGTTTTAAATTAATTGTGTAAATGTGTAATGTACTATGTAGAGTGTAGTGTCATTGGCAACTTTGAGATCCCTTGTATATTTCATTTCGCGACTTTCAACATCTATATTGTAGTTAGCAGAAATCATCGTGCATAAACTATAATAAAATAAATTAAGCTTGATTTATTTTATTTTTTTCTTTATACGGACAACCAACAATGTTTAAAGGATAAGGGAATATTGCACCATTAGTCAACTTATGACCTTGTAGCAACTTGGTCCATTAACTTTTTTATTAGGAATGCACATTCCCGACATTTTAGTTTTTGTGGGTCATTGGTTTTCAACGATGTTATTGTCCATTTGGTTGTAAAAAATGAACTTATGAGAATAAGATGAATAAACACTCAAGTTTAAAAGTAAAAAATAAAAGAGAGAGAGAGAGAGAGAACAAACACACTATTTGCTTTCTTCTTCATCTTTTTGGTTCAAATTATGTATTAGAATTGAAAGGAAATAATAGAAATAAAAGAGAGAGAGAGAGAGAGAGAGAGAGAGAGAGAGAGAGAGAGAGAGAACAAACACACTATTTGCTTTCTTCTTCATCTTTTTGGTTCAAACTATGTATTAGAATTGAAAGGAAATAATAGATATTATACAAACTCAAGACTAGACATGTATAATGCAACCTACTCCAATCAATGGAAGTACGAGTAAATAGGAGCAACCTTAAGATTTTGGGGTCTTAAGTTAAATTTTATATAGGGCATTCTAGATATAAGGTTAAAAAAATAAAAAATAAAAAATAACAATAAAAATTCACTTACAATATGATTATAAATAAGATTTTGTTGGTTTTTTTTTTTTTTGAAAACAAAAACATTTAATGTTAAAACAATAATAATTTAAAACTTTCAAGAGTTAACTTTAAATTTATACTTCTAGCATTTTGAAAGAAGGAAAAGTTGTGCATCACTTTTGATTCGAGACAATCGTGAATCATAATACATGAAGGTGGAGCAGCGTATTAATTTCAATTGTTGAAAGATTGGATTTTTAAAAATATTTCAAGAGTTAACTTTAAATTTGCTCTTCTGGCATTTGGAAGGAAGGAGCG